TGGAAGAACTGCCCATTCAAGATTTAAAATTCCATTAAAATTAACTGAAACCACAGTATTAAATATTACAAAACAATCTAAATTAGCTTAATTAATTAGAATTACTAAAGTAATTTTATAGGATAAAGCTCCAATAATTAATAGATTTGTATTTAAAGCTGTTGATAGAACTTTTAAGGATTTAATGAATAATGATAAACCTTTTGGAGGTAAAGTTATAGTTCTTGGTGATGATTTTAGACAAATATTATCTGTAGTAATTAAAGGTACAAGGGCTAATATTGTTAATGCATGTTTAAAATCTTCTGATCTTTGGAAGTATTTTCAAACTATAAAATTAACAATTAATATAAGAGTTCAACAAAAAAATATTGAACAAAAAAATTTTGTTGACTTTTTATTACAAGTTGGTGAAGGAAAAGTACCTATACATACTGATATTGGTGAAGATATTATAAGATTACTAGATAATATAGTTCTTGATAGTGAAAATCTTAATGAATTAATATCAGAGAGCTTTGATAATATTAATACAAATTATCAAGATTCTAATTATATTAAACAAAGAGTAATTTTAAGTACATTAAATAGTATTGTTAAAGAAATTAATTAACAAATATTAAAAAAACTTCCTGGTAATACTAAAGATAAATATACTTATTATTCTGCTAATTCAGTTAAAAATAAAGATGAAGTTAATTCAAGTCTTTATTCATTAGAATTTTTAAATAAATTAACTCCAAGTAGAATGCCATCATATTATTTAGTATTAAAAAGAAAATATACCAGTTATTCTTTTAATCCTGTAGAAGGTTTATGTAATAGTACAAGATTAATTATAAGAAAATGTTATAAAAACATTTTAGATGCAGAAATTTTAATAAGAGTCAATCAAGGAAAAAGAATATTTATACTTTAAATAAGATTATTACCATCAGATTTTAACCTTCTATTTACATTAATTAGAAGACAATTTTCTATTAAATTATTTTTTGCAATAACAATTAACAAAGCTCAAGGTCAAACAATTTCAATTATAAGATTGTATTTGCCTAAACCAGTCTTTATATATGGGCAATTATATGTAGCTTTGTCAAGAGTTCAATCAAAAGATAATATTACTGTCTTAGTTAAAAATGGAATTGTAAAAGAAAAAGAAAATATTTATACAAAAAACATTGTATATAAAGAAATTTTTAGATAAACATTTTTATATATTTGAGGGTGAGTCAGTAGAAAAAGAACAAATTTTTTCTAAGTAAAAGTTTTCTTGACTTTAAGCTTAAATATCTTAAAAACTATTTTATTAAATTTGATAAATTTTTTTTTATTTTAATTCTATATAATTTCAAGATTAAAATAAAAAATTTTTTAACAAATTTAATTAAATAGTTGTTGAGTTATTTAAATTTAAAAATTAAAAAAATTTCACTAAAAATTATTTGTTTTTTCTATTGACTCTCCCCATATAATGCCGATCAGAATTGAATCATCTGTAAAATTTTAATATAAGATCAAATGATTAATACATCCCAATTTCATATATAAAGATTTGTCTTTTTTGACTTATCTAATAATAAAAAAATTGTACGTTTAATTTCTGAGTATTATTTTGCAAATTCTCTAGCATTTGAAGGTTCTTCTTATTGAATTTTAAAGGTAATTGAAAATAAAATGAAAAAGAATGTGAACCCTAAAACTAGCCTATTTTTTTACAATTTTTGCGTCCGCATTCTTTTCTATTATTTTCAATTACCCTTAAAATTCAATAAAAAGAACCTTCAAATGCTAGGGAATTTGCAAAATGATACTCAGAAATTAAACGTACAATTTTTTTATTATTAGATAAGTCGAAAAAGCAAATTTTTACATATGAAAATTTGGTGCGTCAATCATTTTGATCCTATATTAGGTCCAATCAGTAGGACCGTAAAGATGCACCAATCAGATCTCTTCTAATAAACAACACCAATAAGACCCTCTGCGCACTAACAAAAAAATTCTATCCTAACGTAAGGTTTTCTACTTTAAAAATATAGTGTGTATTCTGATTTTCCACGGTCTTACTGGGGTAGTCTCTAGATAGATAGTCTATAATCATATCAACAACCAAAAAAGTATAGGCATGACATTTTGAAACACCGTGGCGAAAATATTACACCCATGATGTATACCTTCTTGACGTGGTACAAATACTTCGTCGTTTTAATCACCACATCAATTTATCAAATGTATCCAATTAAATTTTGAACAAAACCGGTCTAATCTCTAACTATTACAAATTACACGTAGAAATATGTGTTTATTATTATGAATAAAATACAGGGTAGTAAATTTGATCAAAAACTTAAATGACCCAAGTCATCAAATAATGACAAGGCCATTCATTTGTGTAGTGTTTTGCTTTATCATCGTATCTTTTTAATTATTTACGTATTAATCATGTATGTCTAAGTTCCAAGCTTGGGATTAAGCAAAGTATGTACGTATTTTAAAAAGGGTGTACACTTAGAAAGGATACACTTAAATAGATTAAAGATTTGTGTAATTAGTATGACAAATTATGTACATAACTGATATACTACAATTAATACGTACTGGAACCGGTTTTATTTTTCATATGTTATAATCGGTTTTAAATATACAATATAAAAAATAATTAAATTTTTTTTTTAGCCAATTAAAAGTAGGCTTGTGATCAATAATTATTGAAATCCGGATTGACCCGGGTTGACCCGGACCCGGATCGAAGCTCTAGGGCATCAAAAAATAAAGATGTGGCAAAAGAAATCCAGCTATAACAATGTCTTCAATCGCGGTAGAAAAAGCATCGTTAACAAATGGCATTTCAACACTAAATAAATCGAAACGAAAAGGTAATAGAACACCTGCCAATGAAGATGTACAAGAAAATGTAACGATAATACAATTGGGATCGCGGAATAAAACCAAAAAGGGCAAAAACAAGGAATTGAACAATTCTAGCGGTGTGAGAGTTAAGTCCCGTGTCATTAGGCAACGGTCACTTGTGAATAAAGCAAATGGTACTTCGAGAAATCGAAGAAAGTTGAACAGAGCGGCTGTTAGTGATATAGAAAATACCAATTCAGACACAACACCCGAAGAGGTTCTCAGGGATGAACGGATAGAAAGTTCATCAGACGGTTCACATGAATTTGATAAAAATGATGAAAATAAAGTAAATTTTGCTTTGAAATTAACTCCTGAGGAAGCTGATACATCTAAAACACGACCAGATCATAGTGATAAAGCAAAGTTTGAAAATGCCAAAATTAAAGCCGAAGAGGTTTGCAAGATCATGTAATATCAAGTTACTCCGTATAGTATTTATATAAGATTAACAGCTTTTATCCCTCTTTTTTTTCATAAGACAAAAGAACCTCGAGAGAGAACCATCATAGATGCTGAGGATCAACACCAGGCATTTGCTATGAGCGACCCTACACTGGAAGCAATCCGGTTCGGGGAATGGGAAATTGAACCTTGGTGTGCATCCTCTTATGAAATGGAGTATATCGCAAATTCACTAGTATATGTTTGCGAATTTTGTTTAAAGTACATGAGAAGTGAATTTATTGCTGATCGACACAAGGTCTGTTTTTACGAGTATATTGAATTTAGCCTTTGGTTCGTGAATTAAAATAAATCAAATGGTTTAGATGAAATGTCCGGTGCGCCATCCCCCTGGTGATGAAATATATCGAGATGGTCCTATTTCGATTTTTGAAGTTGATGGACGAAAGAATAAGGTTGAGCTATTAATTTCTTATTTATATGAAGAAATAATCAAACCAGATTACTAGATTTAGGTGTCTTTCTAATTGTTCAAAATTTCTCTAGATATATTGCCAAAACCTTTGCCTTTTTGCAAAAATGTTCATCGCTCACAAGACTCTATTTTTTGACGTAGAGCCTTTTCTTTTCTATGTGATGACAGAAACAAATGATACCGGATGTCATTTTGTTGGCTATTTTTCTAAAGTTTGTTGGTTTAGTTTTTATATGATACGTATGATCGATATTATAAATCGGATTTACCTGACGTTTGTTGTATTCATTTAGGAAAAACGTTCACAAGGAAATCACAATGTTTCTTGTATTCTGATACTTCCAATTCATCAAAGAAAGGGTTATGGGAATCTTTTAATAGAATTTAGTAAGTGTCTAATCACGAATATTGTCTGAACATGAATTCTTATTATTCACATTTATCTTAGGTTACTTGCTTACTAAGAGAGAAAATAAAATAGGCTCCCCTGAAAAGCCTTTATCCAAATCTGGGTTGCACAGTTACAGATATTACTGGAAAAATGTGCTGTTCGAAGAGCTGAATAAAGATAGAAAACACATAAGTATCCAAGGTGGGATAAAACTTTTTGTTATATGAAAATTGATCTTCTGTTACATTTGTAATACTTGGTATTTTATAACCATTTAGAATTAAGCCGTTTGACAAGTATGACTGTCGATGATGTTATTGCCACTCTCCAAATCAACAATATGATTGAGAAGGATGAGATCAATGATACATACAAAATTGTTGTGAATAAAAGAATTGTTGAAGCTCATCTGCAAAAAGTTGAAGCGAAAGGATATCCAAGAATCAAACCCGAAAATTTAAGATGGACACCTTTCATCCTAACCAGGGCCTTGAATTTAAAATCGACGGATGATCTCGCATTTAGGCTAACTGATCACGCGAAACTGAATAACACTTTATGATTGGACATTTAGACGAGCATGTGATAATAAACCAATCAAATTGCATTTGTAAACTATATTATATACGTGGCCAACTCAAAAATTTTTCATGTTTTTAAGAACCCATGACACTCTCTTCACAAACTAATATATAAAATTTTAAATTTATGATTCGGTACAAAAAGGTTCTTTAGAGTCAATTGTATAGTCTTGAACCAAAATTTTTATCCATTATTCTTACAACTACTTTCATTATTAAGCATTTTTGAAGCTTCTTGTATATAGTTTAGTAAATTGCTTCTATATTTAAAAAAATCAATTTTTTTTAAATAAACCAACTAATTTTGGCATGTACATGTCTTATATGTGATATATAATAAAAATTTCTCTAGATTCTAAGTGTAATTTATGCTCGTTACTAAAAGATGGTCTTAATTCTACTTTATACTGACATTGATATGAGTGCCAAATAATCTAATTCGTTCAATCAAAATCGGGAATCTTCGATTTTGCAAAGTAAAAAACTTTTTTGTATTGTAGTCAGACTTTCAACCATAGTGCTTTTTTTTAACAGTCACAATTTTCACTAGGTAACTTTTTTTCAATACAGCATATCACCATGCTTTTTACACGATTTCAGCTACATAGACATGACGAACATATCATCATGATAAATTATGTTCAATAGTGGAAATAATAAATTTTCATGATGAAAATAGACGTTTCCTAAATAAAAAATATTATTAATATTTGGGTTTTGTTGTTTAGTAGTTAAGTTTTTAAACCTTTATAGTTAAAATTAATAGTTTGAGTTAAGCTAAAGACAAAATAGATTTTTAATCTAAAAATAAAGATCTTAATTTTTTTATTTTTGATAATTTTGCTAACAATTTTTATTAAGTTTATTTTTTATTTTTTTTTCTTAAGCAATCATGCTAGTACTTTATTAAGTTTCTTGAAATTACTTTTGCAATTACATAGATATATTTAACAACTAAGTTTAGCATTACACAGCTATTCTAATAGTACCTAAATACATTACTTCAAGCAGAAGTAAATTGCTTGTCTGTAATAAAAAGGTTTTTTTCTTTCTATAACAAGCCTTAACATTGTTTTTCTGGTTTTTTCTTCAATTTATTTGTCCTTTTCTCTTACTTTTTCTTTTCTTCTATTTTTTGTTAATTTAGTTTTTTTTTTTTTACAAAGTTTTTTTTCTTATTATTTTTTTTTTTACTTATTAATTTTTTCATATTGTAATAAAATTTATTAAAAACTAGCAAGCTGTAGTAATTTTTAATAGTATAAGTATCAAGTAGAAGATCTTTTATTTTAAAAAAAATAAAATAAATAAAATTAAACAAAAATAAGAAATGAATATATAAAAGTACTTAGTGTGATAACTTAGTGAAGTGGATAAGTTGTTATATCTCCAAGTGATAGGTTGTGAGTTCAAAACCTATTGATAGCAAAATTTGGATAATCATCTATATAATATATAGACAGTATTATAATGACAGCATTCTGTTGATCAGTTAGAATAGGATATTTGTAACTATGGTCATACTAACATGACTGGCAGGTCTGGAGCATTTGTGTAATCTGTTACACAGAGAAATGCAACCTGGTATCAGGCAGTGCAAATCTAAAATAAGTTCTCAGACTATATAAATCTGTAGAACTGAGAAGTTGAAGTCCACTTGAAAATTCTAAGCAAAGAGGTAATATGAATCTTTGATAGTATTACTGTAAAGGCTAGACCTAGGAAATAGATATTAATATGAAGGATTCAGGCAGGCAAAAACCTTAGGTGAGAGGTATTACTAACTAGGCTACCAGATTTTGGATCAAAGGAAAAAGAAATTGAGCCAGCCTCAATATACTAAGAACAGATTATAGTTCTTTTAAGCTATCTGAATTGGAAATTTAAGTTCAAAACAGAAGTATACTAAAAATATTAGGAATATGCTGTAAAGTTAGTGTTAGGGTCTAGATAAACTCTGTAAGTATAGCCTGTATTAGTATTCTAAAAGTAGGTAGATAGTTAACAACAGAAGCTTCTTATGCCTTACTGACAAGTAATATACTCTGAAATATGTAACAGTCTGAAAACTAGTACAAAAAAGGTAAGTAACTATACTGCTCAGATAGTATACTGGTTAGGTATATATAGTGCATAAGTTGAGGATTTTAATATAATAGGATAATAATCAGAGAGTTTAAATGGATAACCTTCTAGTAGGTTATAGGTATAGCATCTAGTATAGAACCTTAGAGCAAACTACTTAAATAGGCAACTAAAAGTTGTATGTATAACTAGCTATATTCTCATCTTTGTAAAAATGAATATAATAGCTAACCCAATATAAGTTAATAAAGTATCATCACAAGTATGGCCTTTAACAAAAAAAAAAAATATATATATATATATATAAGTAGAATTTAAATTCAATAGCCTCCTAGGCACTATAAGGTACAACAATAGAACTAGCTTTT